AAAACACATGCGCTATACGTCAAAACCAAACATTTTTTAACCTTCCTACTGATATTTATCCATCCTGGGATTCCTTTCAAGCAGCGAGCTATCATAACAGATAACATGTTACTTTACAGCGCTATAACAGGCGAGTCTACAAATAGCGGGTATACAGTAACGATCTATATGAATCCAAAACACTTGAACTTTCCAAGTGTGTGGTATCCCTGATCACTATTTGTCCAAACCTCAGTTGCTTCACGGGAAGCCTGGACTTGTTAGTAAGTAAACCACTGTCCTCTCGCCATTGTTGGTCAAGTTTGTCGCAGTTACATTCGTACTAAGGGTTTGCACATGTATGGTTCAAGCCGCATGCACATTTGTAGTCGATAGAATCCACTCCTACCCAGTACTTCATCTCCTCTCCATCACGTGACACCCAACAGCCGTAACCATTGCGAAAGAGCCTTGAGTGATAGCACTCCTACATTAAAAACTGCTCACAGTGAACAGATGAAGCTGTTCGACTAATTCCCTGGTACGTGACATTGCACGAATAACTGCCGGGGTCCTGAAATCCATCCACCAGCGTTCTGTTTTCACTGTCGTGACTGACAACTGTCACTCCAACACTGTCCTCGTCAGCCGTGTCACAGAAGTCTTTAAAAGGTTTCTCTCCACCTTCTCCATCGGGATCGATGACGTAAGAGCCACTTGGAGTCCTAGGGTAGGAGTGTTTGATATCACAGCAGGTTCGACTTCCTGAAAAACAAAAAGACACAGAAAAACGACTATTTCACAAAAGATTATCCCTGTTCTTACCGGAAAAGAGAAGTGATGACGTAAGAAGCCATTTGAGAGATTGTATACTTTCATATCTCAAAAATTTTATTTCCATGGAAAATGAAGAAAGAAAAACCGGCCGTGTAAGGTCGAACTTTCATTACCTTTCATATTGGAAAATTGTTGAGGGACACTATACACGTATATGGAAGCAGTTGCATAAAGTTTTCAATGACATTTAGTTATAATTAAAGACGACAGTATGACTTCTACTTTAGAGTTTGTACCTCTCAGTTCGAAAGCAAATTTAATACCTCCACGTTTAGTGAGTTCCACTGAATCCAGGCTGACAATCACAATGATAGGAGTTCGTTTCATATTCAGAAACACAGACAGGCCACCGTTCTTACAAGGAGCGCTTTCACATGGAGACTAGAAACATTCCTTGAATCATTCAGTTTATATTTAAAGAAATACGCAGAGTGTTAAGCACCAAATATATGAAGAGATCTTACCAACGGACTGCAGTGATGGAAGGTAGCATTTGCACGAACCTTTTCAGCCTCTCTGTACTTGTCTGTGGCCAATAACTCACACAGATAAAGACCTTTGGAGTCAGGATACACTGCTATGTTAAAAGAATAGCAAATTGGTTCACCAACACAAAGAAAAGTACAGTCCAACTTATCTTCCACTATGGATGATGAAAGTTTCTCCGCCCATGAGAAGTAGAAAGGGTCGCACTTGAATTTACCAAACGAAGCGCGGCCTGTTGGATATCGATAGAGAGCGCAGTTTTGTGTGGCAAACAACAATCCTAACAAACAAGGAAAAATCAGGAAGAGTGGCAGAAGCAGCATGACAGTGGCCGATGAACTCTCACAACCGAAACGAGTTGCTGAATGATGCTGAAGACTTTACATTCAAATGAAAAATAGGTCCTTTATAATTGCCTGTCAGTAATTAAGAATTAATAGCCACATCTATGAGGCAGGTGCCATGGGTGGGATAAACTTCTACTATAGGGGAAGTAGAAGTGGAACAGTAAGTTTTAAAAAGTCATTCTAAATAAAACTCTTCTTCTTAGCAAACCTGATACTATTTTTAGTTCTTTTACAAGAACTGCTTTCAAACTGTTTTTTTTCTACTGATGAAATGATGTCTATGAATGCCCTCTATAGATATTCTATAAATAGTTTTAAATATTCATTTCAATATCTATTAACTCTGACTATGCTAATGATTTACTCAGTTTGAACTAATGTTTTTGTCAATTTTTGGTACTCTGCTCCCTACTCTACAACAAACTTGAAAATAAATTTCTATTTACTCCTCCACATGTCCCTGTTAGCAGGTTTTCTGTAAGAAGTTGTGTTTTGGCTCGCACTAGGATAATAATATATGAAATAAATTGACGCCATGAATTGGCACTTACTACAAGAAGCTAAAGTTGTTTTCTTCGTTTTAGACGTAGCGGCTGTTTATTTAATATTTTATTATTTTATCATGCCATGGCATTTTCTCTTAGAAAGCTTTTTGTGAAAGAAAAAATAATTCTTTTCTAATTGTTAATTTTTTCTATTTTTGGGCAAATATCAAATAAATCTTTCATTACCTTCCGCAGTTATTGTTTAACGGATGGATTCTCTGATCATAGGCAGATATTGGGCAGATTTCCTCTTAGTGACTTAAAAGGAGCTTATCTAATTAATAAACAATAATCATATTAAATTGGAACAAGTTTAGCAAAAAGAAATTAAAGTGTCATGTCTTGAAAATGTTAGGAAATCCTTTACGTGGATCGGAAAGCGCGAGCCTCGATTATGTATTTTCTTTGCAAAAAGTGTCAGTCGCTTCTTCTTTGTTTATTAGCATTTTCAATTAAACAATAAACTGGTTTTAAATATAAACATTGCACAATTACTCATTAAAATATTTCCTGTAAAAGTTAAAAAAAATATCCAAATAAGAAAAGTTATATTTGCGAAAGTTGTTTATTGAACATGTTACAGCATCAGCAAAAAATAACATATAAGAGAAATGGTCAGATTACTCGCCTAGGATAACTAAAGGTGCACTTTGAACAAAGCCTGCAAATTAGCGTTGAATTACACCTGTTTTGCGTGACTAGAATAAATACAAATAGTCTTCGACTTGTATCGGCCTGAGATACAAAAAAACCGTTCATTAGTGCACTATAATAACTACAAACAATACGTTGTCGTTAGGAAATACATTAGAAAGAACGACCAATGGGGATTTTGTCAGGGATAGCTATTTAGAACTGAGCAACTCATCTTAAAGTAACTCATCTTAATCAACGAATAAAGAAAACTGGAACATTATTGACACTGAAATGAACGTTTTGCAGCCTTGTATTCCAGAGATGCTAGTGCGATGACAGGAACAAATAATTAATTCATTCCACTGTTTTAACTGGTGCCAGCCACCTTAAGATATATAATTGAAAGGAGAAATTGCATAAACTTAAAACAAAAAAACATGTTTTCATCCGAACGCCTACGTAAATATCGTCGCCAAAAAATGTATGGCTATTTGCCATAAAAAGTCTGTAGCCAAAACTTTACTTAGGAGGGCTGACTGTCTACCATCTTCACTCGATTCGAAGGCTAAGGAGAGGAAATATGTTTCCAATGTCCTAAAGGCAAATGGTTATACAAAAACTTTTCTCCGTAACTGCCAAAAACCAGTTACAAATAGTAACGCTCTTGATGAAAGGGAACCAGCGACTGGTTTTGCTGTTATTCCTAATACATACAGGGTGTTACGGAACCCATCAAGAGAATTTTGAATAGCCACAACGTTAAAGTTGCTCAAAATCGTGACGATGGCGGTTTGCTTCCTGACGCCTATTTACACCTCGTCAGAAAAAAGGCCGCTAATTAGTGATCATATAAAAGGACCTCTTGTTGCAGCGTTTAGATCACCCCTGATGAAGGCACTAGACAGGAGTGTCGAAACGTTGGGTCTATGAATTGTAACTTCTTCGGTTACATTCATTAAATCTGCAAACCAGAGTAGCATCAAACTATGTCTGAATGTATGGCTAATTCAACAGAATACTCTCATAAATCAATAGGCTTAGAAATTTTGCTCAACAGTTTATTGCAAAGTGCTTTAGTGAAACAAAACGTCGGCAGCTATATGCATAAATATATTTAAAAATGACATGTTCTTTGTTGCTTCGCTATCAATTAATATTCCAAATCCACTCTGATGGAAATTTGAATAATTTCTTATATACGGAGGTAATTTAGAGTTAAAAGACTTTTCAAAGTAAAGGTTAAAAGAAGGTCTCAATGAAAGGATAATTTTGAAGTTGACAACTGATTTTTTTTCCAATTTTGACCATTGATGGTTAAATCTTGGGGCTAATGACGGTTGACGATGTTAGTACCTTTGACAGCTGACGGTTATTACGAGTTTAAATCACTTTAAGCTTGTTGTTGATTTAGCACGAGTTATGAATTATGTTTACAGCTATTCAGTCTTTCTCTGACAAAGTAAACTTAATTTTAAAGATCTCTAACGATTAACTACTAAAGATATGTCCAGAGAAATGCATGCAGTAACGAAAATGGCGAAAATTCGTCAAAATTGACAGATTAGACCCACTTACCCACCCACCCACCCTACTGATTCTCTAATGAACCCTACTCCCCCCCCTCCCATTGAACCCCCTAAACTTTACCGGAAATGATCAAAGAGTAAAACATATCGAAGAAACTTAAAGGGTATTTCAGAGCATCTGAAGAGTGAGCCAGTTTCACTCGAAGAATGAAATGATTGATTGCTTTTTCAGGCTCCATGGGTAGGGGGAGTGAAGGCGACAAAGAATATTAATATAATTTGACCTGAAGGTGACTGTAATGGTCACAGATCTTTAAATCCTTAACATAATACATAACATTTTGTTGTTTTGTGGTAGTGAGAATTCGCGAGGATATATTGAAATGCAGAAGGCGCCAACGAGAGGTCATCGAGCTCTGTCCAATAAAGTGTCTCAGCCAAATGATATAATCGCTTGCAAAATCCACAGAGAGGAAAATGAAAGGAAAACATAGTTGGATTTAGTACGAAATTGGGCCATTTTAACAAAGATGACTGTGTACTGTAGGCTTCAAATTCAAGTACTTGTACAAGACTTACAGTCATTTTCAGATTTAGCGTATTTTATGGGATTCAAATAGGGGTGAAAGTTTGCAACTATGAGGTCCTTTGGATCTTTTATTTAAGATTTTCTCGACAGAATAACTTCCAGCTTGGTCATCTCCACTTTTCTATGGTAAACAAATCGTGTCATCATCAAATTACTTCATATATATATCGACGAATTGGAAGCATACATTACTTTTGTAAAAACGATGGCAGGTTTTTTACTGCAGGCAACTGCTTTCACGTCTCTTGGAATTCTCAAACGCGGTAAAAGAGCAATGTTAATTAATCAAAACCAAATGAATTTTGATATACAATTATCACTATAGCAAGTATTTAAAGTTAATGACCTGTACTTCATTCTTAAATGGGTCCAAAGCACTTGAGCGGTCCAACACTCAGTATGACATTCGGTTACAATTTTGGGCAAATACTTTAAACTAAACATTATGAATTTCTCCATTTTTCTCACTACATTACAATCGAATTACCAATTCATTACATTTCTCTGAATTATCATGGACCTCCATTCTAATTCAGTTCTGCAAAGAGAGTACAGTGATCAAGCAATCTTTTTGATGTTCAACGTATTGTCTTTGTGACTTCTCAGTAGATAAATCCATAACACTCCAGTTTTCCAAGCGTGTGATATCCTTTTTCATCGCCATCGCTAAGGCGACCGGTATCTCCAAACCTCATTTGAATCACAGGAAGCTTGGACTTGTTTGTTAGTAAACCGCTGTCCTCTCGCCATTTCCAATCGTTTTTATCGCAGTTGCAGCCGTAACTGGTGTCCGCGCACGTGTTGTTCCACCCACATGCACATTTGAATGGAGCAGAGTCGACTCCACCCCAGTACTTCATCTTCTCGTCATCGCGTGATACCCACCAGCCGAACATGCCACCGTTGTAAAGGAGCATTGAATGATAGCATTCGTATTTGATAAACTGCTCACAGTGAGCAGATGAAGCTGTTAAGCTTGCTAGCTGAATTAGACTGGCTTCATTATAAGTAACGTTGCGCGAATAACTACCACGAACATCAAATCCATCCACCAGCATTCTGCTTTCACTATCGTGACTGACAACTGTCACTCCTATCCCCCCCTTGTTAGTCATGTCACAGAAGACTTTAAAAGGTTTCTCTCCGCCCTCTCCATCAGGATCGATGACGTAAGAGTCACTTGGAGTCCTAGGGTAGAAGCGTTTGATGTCACTGCAGGTTCGATTTCCTGAAACACAAAAAGACACAGAAAAACGACTATTTCCCAAATGATTATCCCTGTTCTCACCGAAAAAAAGAAGTGATAACGTAAAAAGCCATTTTAGAGACTATATACTTCACTCTGAAAAGGTTTATTTCCATGGAAAATGAAGATAGAAAAAAACGGCCGACTTAGGTCAAACTTTTCCTTCCCTTTCATATTGGGAAAATGTTGGAGGACACTATACATGTAGATGCAAGCAGTTGCTCAAAGTTTTCAATGACATTTAGATATCATTCATTTATAGTGCATTTTAAAAAATGGAAATAAAGACGACAGCATGAATTCTACTTTAGAGTTTGTATCTCTCAGTTGAAAGGGAAAAAAGTTAATCTCATACCTTCACGTTTACAGTGAGTTCCATCGAATCCAGACTGACAATCACAATGATAGGAGTTCTTTTCATATTTAGGAACACAGACACCACCGTTCTTGCAGGGAAAGCTTTCACATGGAGACTGAGAAGAAAGCAATCATCTCAACTAAAAACATTTATTCTGTATCCAAAAAATTGAAATCTGGAAACTGCCAGGTATGAATAAAGATGTCTTACCCGTGCTCTGTAATGATGGAAGGTTGCATTTGCATGAAACTTTTCAGTTTCTCTGTATTTGTCTGTGGCCAACAGCTCACACAGACAAACACCCTTGGAGTCGGGATACGCAGCCATGTTAAACGAATAACAATTTGGTTCACGAACACAAAGAAAAGTGCAGTCCAACTGATCTTTCACCATGGACGATGAAAGTTTCTCTACCCACAAGTAATAGAAGGGATCGCGCTCAAAGTTACCGAACGAAACAGTGCCTGTCGGATATCGGTACAGAGCGCTGTTTTGCATGGCACACATCAACTTCAACAAAGAAGGAAAAAACGACAAGAGAGGCAGGAGCAGCATGGTGATGGCCGGTGAACTGTCAACTTCTGGATAAGCTGCTTTAGGATACCGAAGAGCTTAAACGTGAATGGAAAATATGGTAATTGCCTGTTTATACAAATCCACTCAAAGAGCAGGTGCAACTTGCGAGTTGAGATATGAAATGTTACGATAGTTAATAAAACAAATTTCTTCTTTTAGAAATCATAAAAGAGCATTTTTTTGTCAGTAGATTGAAGTATCTTAAACCGATGGGTGAGAGAAAAAAGGGAGAAACAAAAGGTATGTCATAGTCGGGCGACTGTTAAATATATGCAATATGTTATACAGTTGTTAAATATAAAGTATCAGTTAATTAAACCATTCAATCTCAGACGCCGTTGTTCCGCTGTTTTTTACCTGTTTTATTTGATTAACTAATAGATAGTTACCTGTTTCATATGTCTCGCTCCACCAATAACCTTCTATTTATAGTTTATAACCCCTAACCGAATTTTGCGAACCTTTTCAGCGACTTTAGCCTTGTAATAGATATTCTATAGCCTTAATACTTAGAAGCATATTTAATACGTATGAATGAACACCATAACCTTATCAAAATACTGGTTTTTTGTAATTTCCTGCTTCCTGGGGCATTTCTGAGAAACTTCTACACACTCGTTTACAGTTGCAAGAAATGTTTGACTTCGTCTGAAGAAGCTAGGAAACCTCTCAATTGAAATGTGCAACGTGCGAGCCTTCATATCGTGTTTTAGTCAGTCTTTTCATTCCGTATGATAGCAGTTTCAATCAAAAACTGTAAATTTTTTAAACATCAACATTTATATAGATGTCTCCTTTTCTGATAGGCAGATTATTTAATTTATGAGTTTGAAAATATTTATATGACAAAATTCATGTCACTTGCAAAGAATGGTCTGTGCTAAAGTGAAATACTCCTCGAGCACTTCTTGCAAAAGCGGAGTTTAATAATGTCTGTTATACAGGTATCTAAGACTCACACTTCGACTTATTCCGTACCTGTGACGCAGATAATTACCATTAGTGCGATACTTCCCCCACAATTGTTATCTTAGCGAAACGCGTGCGATGAATGTTTATCACCACTAATAGTGTAGCCCTCTCACAGAATGCAATTTAAAACCAACACGAACGTAAGTAGGAGAGATTTAACATAATTGTAGTGTCTTGTATCAAATTCCATTTAATTAATTGTCGTTATGATTTGCCAAAGAAAGACAGAACGAATTTTAGTTTCGGATAATTTATAGCTTTTCTCTGATTCTTGGCTGTTATTTTACTAGCCAGGTACATAATTTCATAAGCAGCCATTTTTTTAAAGCGGAGCCTCATTTTATTAATATGTTTATGACCTTCCGCTTAATGCTGTAACTAAATACATTTCCGTGTGCTATTAGCGGATAAGGGACATTTATGTATGAATAACGGTATATAATATGAAAATGGAAGCGATCCTCGCAGCTATAAACACAACTTAAGCAATAATAAAATCCGTACATGCCTGAATTTTTTTCAGGCCTTATCTTCACTACTGCTTAAGAAGTGTTCATAACTGCGAGGATCGCTTCCATTCTTCAAACGCAGTTCATATATATGATTTTCATATATTTATAGCCATTTACTCACCACTTCACAGGTTTATTTGGAACCATCATAATGACCAGCTCCCAATTGGCTTGTTAGCTCAGTTGGTAAAGCGCTGCACCGGTAGCGTAGAGGTTGTGGTTTCAATTCTTCAACCTCAGTTCACATATACGATTTTCATAAATTGACAGTCAAATATATAATATCTTGTGAATAATTAATAATATGCCTTTTCATAAAAACTGTCACCATGGTAGTTGAGAGTAGAAGGGGAAGGGGAGTTGAGACTCATTTGGGACGTTTAGCCGATGCTTTGAGAGGATCACTATTTTTTTCTTTGAGAAATTGTTAGTTTATCTTTCTTTCTTTCTTTCTTTCTTTCTTTCTTTCTTTCTTTTTATTTTATTTTTATTTTTTTTTTTTTGGGGGGGGGGGGGGTACTTCTGTTCAGGTGATAAAATCTGCCGTCACAAGTGGCATGAAGTGAAGCATTGCTTCAAAAACAAAAATTCAAAAAAAATGTTTGTATGTCCACTACACCGACTGGAGTCCACAATGGGTATCAATGCCTATTGTTACGAGAAAATTTACTGATTTTCCCGTGTGTGTTATTCGGTACATATTTATTCGTAAACTTTCACATTTAACCATTTCAAGTTCTTTCATTTTAAAAAATAAAAAAATGCATAAAAACCACAATGGCTTTTAGAATGGATTTTGTTGATTACTCACTTTTACTATGCACCTGCTTGTCGGCACTTTTGTCATTTATTACATGGTTTTTTTAGGTAAATATAAGTGTTAATGGTCTTTCTGGAAACATTGGTTTTCATGGTAGATAGCAGCTGAGTTTATACGCGTAAATTTAATTTCTTTTCATGCGATAGTTTCCAAACCAACCTCGCATAAATAAGCAGAAACTTTTAATTACTTTTCCGTTTTTATTTCCTAAGCTGCGCTACTGCAATTAAGATAGGTATTGTTTTCTATATCAGAGCTGTAAATTCGCACCTAAGTTCCCTACGTTAATGGCCTAGAGTTTATTGCATCCGTCTTTTTAATTTTGAGATTCTTTCCGTCGTAGAAACAGATGGAATATTTAAGTAGTTTTCGTTTAACTTCAAAGAGACTTTTTCCGCTCCTTTGACGGTCCTTATTCAAATATTGCGATTTGTGTAACAATAGCACTTCACACCAGTTACTTCTTAAGCAAGTACCTTGTACAGTTTTGATGATTACAAACTAGAGTATGCTAGAGGTCATGTCGCTTGTTGACCAGACCTAGAATAAAAGTACTGTGGAACCAAAGATTGTCTTATCCTTGACGTCCGTATAAGCTCGCTCGAAGCAGATCTCCGTGTACCAGGAAATCGGTAAGACGAGTTTCCGTTCTCGCTGCCAAGTCGTCTCTACAGAGTTATTTCCCCCAGTTGTTATTGTGCCGTCCGCGAAGATTCAGTTTTCCAGTTTGGGCGCGAAAACCTATCGTCACACTATTCTCCGCAGAAAGGCTTATGTTTGAAGATTTCTATTTATGTGTTAAATAACACTCCTGTGTCTGCTACACTCTTAAGAGGCTGTCTCTCTTATTTCCACTCGGTCAATTTTGCATCAAAAATAATTTTACCTGAAACTCTGTCAACAGAAAGACTTTACCTAGGAAAGAACTAAATTAGATTTGGTTTGATTTGAAATAATTTTCTGACCGCATTAGGGGCCATAATTATTTCCCAGTCCGTAGGGACCGTCGCAACGTCTCGAAAATTGAAAAATAGGCATATTTTGTAACATTGTAAAATATTTGATTCGCATAGTTAAGCCACAGAATTTATATCAGATTGCTTATAAACCTTTCTAGTTTGCCAAGAAAGTTAGAATTTTCCCTCTCAATATATTTGAAAAGGCGAATTTTAGCATATTCTGACCACTAGAAATCGCCATCGGCCGATGGCCGTAAATAACCTTGATTTAGACGTTAAGTGGAATTTAAAGCTGAACGATTGCACTATCACGCATAACAGAGGTCCGCATTAACCATTGGGGGTGAACCCGCTGACTGTTTATTTTTTTTGGAAGGTCTGCAAGTGTAGTATGGCATGCAAGTGCTTTTTCAGCGAGGTTGTTAAAGCTTTCAGAATGTAGAGGTGATATCAATGATCATCTACAAGCGTGTCACTTAGGTCAGCTTAAAGGAACGGTACAAGAATATGAGCTTATCGTTAACAGGTCAAGGTTGCCACACGACCTTTACCCTGAGTGTTCTTTGATTCGTCGACTATGCTCATTGCAGTTGTTGTTCCCTTCACTGGGTGTTGCGTCAATGCATCTCTCATGTCCAAGGCAGTTAGAACATCGTGCCCTTCGTTGCAGTAAGCACGAATAGAGGACTTCATTGGCGAATCAAAGAACACTCTCTGTATAAATAAGATTGAGCATTTTAGTAGCTTCTACAGCTTCGAATATGGAGATACCAGTCTGAGAGTTTGGAAATTTTATGGCATCGGTAAAGGGAAGTACATTCCATATGACGTAATTTATATCAAGCACCAAGGTCAAACGTCCCTTCAAACCATAGAATCTCAAGGGTTTTATGATTCTCTTGAAAAGCGTGTGGTCAAGCGTCGTTCAAAGGGCAGCAAGGAAACAGAGAGTACAACGCCATTGTTTGAATGCTCTGTGTTTGGACGTGTTGAAGTGTTCGAAACCTTTTCGCAGCTAGAGCTGCACCTGGACGTTGGAAAGCATACAGTCAGCAGGTTAAGACAGTATGATGCAATCAAAAGGGACTGGGCCCTTAAGTTCTCGTCGATAGATACCGCTGGTATCGAGTGTTCGAGCTGTTCGTTAGATTCCAGTACACCACTCACTTCTCCCGTGGATACTTCGCCCTACTCGTCTCTACGAACAGGATGGGCCGTAAGCAAACCAAGGGGTAGCGTTAGATTTTCAGAGAAGGTAAAAGAATACCTAACGGCACGGTTTACACTTGGAGAAAGAACTGGGCGGAAGGTAGACCCCGCCCAAGTTGCAGTGGACATGCAAAATGCGAAAAAGTGAATCAAATGCACGTTTGTTCACTAGAGAACAGTGGCTGACAAAGAGCCAAGTTCAGAGCTATTTCTCCCAGCTAGCAGCAATGCTGCGAAAAGATCAGGGTGTGATCGGGATATCGCTGGATGAGGAGGAAGATGTCCAATGCGTCCAGGAAAATTCAAGAGAGACAAGATCTGGTAGACAAAGTTAACAAAGAGATCAAAGTCTCACATCCAGTCTGCTACGACACGTAGGACTTCTGTGAACGTTACCACAGTAACACACTTCAGAAATTCAATGTGGTTTTGTTGAGAGCCATCTGTAGTCATTTTGAGATCCCTGTAAAATTGAGAGACAAAAAACAGATTCTCATAGACAAACTGTCGAACGTGATTAGTGATTGTCAATGTGTTTCTGAGTAGACTTATGTAAACAGTGTCTTATACGGTGGCTGAAAGTGTAGAATATGCTCTACAGATACAAACTACCTTTAGTTCCGATATCAAGTTCTGACGGCGTTGTTATAGTGTAATATATTATAATATCTAATAGTCAGTGAACTGTTTTGATGAAAACGATCGAAAATTTACCAAAAGCAACACTTATAACATCTGTTCTTACGAAGCATGTGTCAAGTTTTTATCACGTTGGTAGCCGATTTCTCCGGCTATTGACAGGTTGCTGTTCTGTGGACACAATCGACGTGGAACCGAGAGAAGCAAGCTCAGGATATTTGAAATTGATTTATTAATTATATGATATCAAACTCCAGGTAAAAGCATTTATTCTTTTCATCGATGTTAAATGGGTGATTCATCGCGAAATGTGGCCAATTCCGACATTTTGTTTTGATACCACGAATCACGATGGATGCCGCCTACTTTTCGAAGGCAATACCTAGCTATTTGTTGAAGTTATCATGGATTTCACCAATTTGGTTATTAGAAAAATTCTGAAGCGAGCCATGAAGCCGGGCTGCAAAGCGGGTAAGCTGTAGTTATGACGAAATCTGCTTCAGTGGTTCGATTTTGGTGTAGGTGAAAAAATCGCAAATGCTCGTACATGTGCTGGTTCAAACGGTCATAACTTTTGAAAAATCGAAAATGTACGGGGGTTTTTGCACATTTTTGCCTATAAAGGTCTAAAATTAACGGTTGTGTAGGATAGTGTCGTCAACCAGGTCCCAAAACCCAAAACTTAACGTCTAAATCAAGGTTATTTACGGCCATCGGCCGATGGCGATTTCTAGTGGTCAGAATATGCTAAAATTCGCCTTTTCAAATATATTGAGAGGGAAAATTCTAACTTTCTTGGCAAACTAGAAAGGTTTATAAGCAATCTGATATAAATTCTGTGGCTTAACTATGCGAATCAAATATTTTACAATGTTACAAAATATGCCTATTTTTCAATTTTCGAGACGTTGCGACGGTCCTACGGACTGGGAAATAATTATGGCCCCTAATGCAGTCAGAAAATTATTTCGAATCAAACCAAATCTAATTTAGTTCTTTCCTAGGTAAAGTCTTTCTGTTGACAGAGTTTCAGGTAAAATTATTTTTGACCCAAAATTGACCGGGTGGAAATAAGAGAGACAGCCTCTTAATCATTGACAAAACCACCCCTCCTCCATTTGACGTTGCCTGTATATAGCTAAAAGTTCACGGAATCACGAATTGTTTTCCAAGGGGGAGAGGGTGAATAACTTAACTAAACAAGGCCAAGGACAACTAGCCTGTCATCTTTAATACCAGTAAATCCCTAGCCAATCCTCCAAATGGGAAATCTTTCATCTGGCGATATAAATTATTCTTTCAACGGTATAAAATTGTTTCAAAACATGCTGGCAAACAAGGGACGGGAGCTGTGTTAATTCCCTTCCTCCGTGCACAACGGTCGGTGGGTATTTATTAGATTTTGCGTTCGATAGCCGAGGAAGGGCCAAATAATAAGAGAACTTCAAGAATCTTGCCTTTTAAAACTGCTCACACGTTGGTTAGTCACACACTCTAAACAGAGTACAATGAAAAACGGGTTCAGTGTTAAACTTACGGTAATCTTGCGCGATCGACGCCCTCCGCAGCTTGCTGTATTGGATACTGGTTTTAGGGAC